AGCAGAACTCTGGAGGTAATTAACTTAAATTCAGCCCTAATCCAGTCTGACTGTGGTCCTTATGAGAAGAGGAGGACACAGAGAGGAACAGCAGACACAGAAAGACGTACGCAACTGGACACACGGCAAGAAGACACGGCGTCTACGAGCCGCGGAGAGAGGCTTCAGGAGACGCCGACCCTGCTGACACCTTGACCTTGAACTTCCAGCCTCCCGAACTGTGAGGAGATGAATTTCAGGTGTTTAAGGCCCCCAGTCGATAGCTTCCCTGGTGGCTCAGATGGTAAAGAACCCGCCTGCAATGCAGGAGACCTGGGTTCAGTCCCTGGGTTGGGAAGATCCCCTGGAGAAGGGAATGGCCACCCACTCCAGGATTCTTGCCTGGAGAATCCCATGGACAGAGGAGCCTGGCGGGCTACAGTCCATGGGGTCGCAAAGAGTAGGACACGACTGAGCGATTACCAGTCGAAGGCATTTTGCCCTGACAGCACTACCAGACTAACACGCTGGGTATTACTGCCAGGTAAAGATGCTGAGCCCAAAGTCTGCTATCATTCAGCTGAGGACTGAGATTTTAAGAGTCAAAAGACTATTAAAGGCCTACCATCCACAGCAGAGACTTTCTCCTTGACAACAAATGAGAAGAATGAAGTAGAATTAAAAGGGAATGACTTTAGATCAGTCCGGCTGGAATAGGCTGTACCTTTTTAAAAATTTCAATGTCTTGGTATTCGCTGTGCTAAGTCACTTCAGTCGTGCCCAACTCTTTGCAACCCCATGGACTGTGGCCCACCAGGCACCTCTGTCTTTGGGATTCTCGAGGCAAGAACACTGGAGTGGGCTGCCATTTCCTCCTCCAGGGGATCTTCCCGACCCACGGACTGAACCCGCGTCTCTTACATCTCCTGCATTGGCAGGCGGTTCTTCACCACGAGTGCCACCGGGGAAGCCCCCGCGTCTTGGTACAAGCAGCTCTCTCTTCCCTCCTGCTCCGTGTCCCACACGGGTCCACAGGGGTCCTGCTCCACCCGGTCACCTGGGGTCTCGGGCTGATGAAGGCCCTGCCTTCTGAGCTGCATCCTCTGCCTACACGGTGGCCTCCCTCACATGTGGGGAAGAGAGTTTGGAGAACTGTGTGTGGGTTTCCCACATCTCAGAATGGATGCAGTACACCTCATCATTCCTGCTTGCATCTCACTGGCCAGGACTAGTCACATGGCCCCACCCATCAGCCAGAGAACCAGGGAAAGTTAGCAAGAAAATACACTCTTTAGAGTGTGTTTCTGTCTCTTCCACAAGATCTTCTGCTACTTCATGTCACCTTCTTGTCCTTAAAAAATCATCCTGAGTACATCTCAAGGATGCATCCCATGCTTTGGGAAAAAAAAAATTAAAAGATCTGGGCAAATCTCTTCATTGCATAGCTGAAGTCCACAATGTAAAGCTAATTTGCCATTCCATACTTTTCAGCAAAAAACTGATGCTTTTGATCTGTGATGCTGGAGAAGACCCTTGAGAGTCCCTTGGACAGCAAGGAGATCAAACCAGTCCATCCATCCTAATGGAAATCAACTCTGAATATTCTTCGGAAGGACTGAAGCTCTAATACTTTGGCCACTGATGCAGAGAACTGACGATGCTGGGAAAGATTGAGGGCAGGAGGAAAAGGGGACGACAGAGGATGAGACAGTTGGACAGCATCACCGGCTCAATGGATGAGTTTGAGCAAGCTCTGGGAGATTGTGAGGGACCCGGAAGCCTGGTGTGCTGCAGTCCACGGGGTCGTGAAGATTCAGACATGACTCAGACTGCACAACACTTTCCTAGACCTGGATTTGAGGCCAGATCTCTGGTCCCTTGAGTCCTATACTTAACTCTCTTTCCAATCAACCCTGTGAACACAAAAACGGTAGCAACTGAAACAACTTGGATGTCTATTTTTGGTGCAAGAGATTTTCATCATTCCAGTAAGATCATAACAGGAAACAGTCTAAAGACTGATGTTGCTATCGAAGAACCGCAGAGAAACGTAGCCATTTAACGTTTCCACCGGAACACGCAGAGACCTTTCCCACTCATATCTGAGATGAATACATCTGTGGAATCAGTGAAAACGTATGATTGCTCAGTGTTGTCTGGTTAGCATCCAATTACGTACAGTGTATTTATTTTAAATTTAGAAGACACACTCAAGAGATTTCCAGGAACAAAACGAGAAGAAATTGGCAGTGCGCTGAATGGAAAAAAATTAATGGCATGAATTATACAGCCTGTGAATCGGAGCCGATGAGTGGGGGCTGGCGGGGGAGAGAGGTGGGCACCGTTGTTCACGCCGCACTCTGCCTGCAGTCCTGATTGGTGCTGAAGAGCGGTCCCCCTCCAGGCAGCCGTCGCATCCTGTATCTTTACGGCAAGGCCACCTTGCAGGTCACACCTGTGTTCCCATTTCAGGAGTACAAAAGCAAGGCCCCCAAACAGACTTCAGCAGCCAGCCTCCTTTTAGAGAACAGACCCAGCCTTGTTTTGTTTTTTAATCTGGCCATGCAGCATGTGAGATCTTGGCTCCCCGCCCAGGGATGGAAATCACAGCCCCTGCGGCCCGGCATCGGAAGCGAGGAGCAGTCTTCACCGCTGGACCCCCAGGGACGCCCTAGGTTCAATGCACAAGTTTAAGCTTGACCACTGTCAGCGCAGCGGGGCCCGAGGGAGGAGCGGAGGGCGGAGGGGAGGAGGAGAGGGAAAGGACCGGGCCTCGGACACCTCCGCTGAGGGCCGAGTCCGCACTCTGAGCGGGCACCTACCACTGTGTGCTCGGGACCTTCACCTGCTTCGTCCCATTCATCTCTCAAGATCATCAGTCACTTCAGAGGCAAAGAGACTGAGGTCAGAAGCGGTTGATTACCTCGTCCTAGGTTGAATTGTGTCCCCTCCAAATTCATATGTGGAATTCCTGGTCACCTTAGGCTGTGACCTCACTTGAGAGGAAGGACCTTGGAGATACAAGTCGTTAAGCTGGGGTCATACTAGAGAGAGTTGGGCCCCAAATGCAATACGACTGGTGTCTTTTCTCCCCCCACCCCCCCTTTTTCTTTATTTATTTGGCTGCACTGGGTCTTAGCTGCAGCATGTGGGATCTAGTTCCCTGACCAGGGACTGAACCTGGGGGCCTTGCTTTGGGAGCGTGGTGTCTTAGCCACTGGGCCACCAGGGAAGCCCCACGACTGGGGCCTTAATGAAGAGGGAGAATCGGGCCACGGACGCACACTCAGCGAGGAGCTGGGGATCGTGTGATGCTCCTACAAGCCAAGGAACGTCCCAGAGGGTGGCGAGACGCCTGGGATAGGCTGCCCCTCGGGGCCCGCGGAAGGAGCTAAGCCAGCCAGCACCCTGATCTCTGACTTCTAACCTCCAGCACCCTGAGACGAGGCTGTGGTGTAAGCCCCCCAGACTGGGGTACGTGGTTCTGGCAGCCCCAGGAAAAGACCACCACAGGGTTATGAAGCGGAGGGCAGCCAGGCTCCTCTGAGTCTAAGTCTTGACTGAGCGTGCGGGGCCCATTTCCAGGCAGAGCCCCTGCCGCCCCCTGCCTGGCCTGCAGTTTGCCCAGCATGCCAGCAGCCTCCCCACTCGACAGCAGGCGGAGGCTGAGGCCCAGAGGGCTCCCTGTCCTGTCCCAGGCTGTAGGCAGCGGGCTTGGGGAGGCAGCAGGTCCTCCTGGGCTTCCCCCTGCCCTGAATCATGATGCTTCCCTTCATCACTCACCTTGCAGAGTGTTCTCAGCCAGCTTCTCAGATTCCTGGTAAATCAGGAACAGAAAGCAGCAAATGAATGTTCCTGGCCTGGAAATGCCAGAAGCCCTTTCAAGAGGAGAAGGATCGGGGTCCTGGCTGGCTGTGACGTCAGCCCTGAGAGGTAATCTGAGAGCCTCACTGAGTCAGACAAAGGGGCTGGGGGCTGGCCATCCCTTCACGGCCTGGCTAACCCCCGGCCAGGGGATGGGGGAAGAGTGGACAGTGCCTCTCTGTCCACTGCCCCGGCCACTGAGTTAAGGCTTGCCACGGATGGGGAGTCACAAGCCTGCCTGTTTGGGAGCCCCCGTGACAAGGTATATATACGTGATGTGTATTCCTATATACATGAGAGAGAAAGGCACCCACTCTCCAGCTGCACGGCCCTGAGTGCCCAGCTCCCAGACCCAGGGGCGGACCACGACCCCTCATCACCCCCTCCAGGGGAAGCCCGCACCTGACTGCTAACAGCATGTTTATTTTACCCCTCTTTGTACTTTATGTAAATAGGATCCTGTAGGCTCCCCTCCTTTGGGTCCGTGGTGCCTTTCATTCCCCATTTGGCAAATGCAGCTACATCTGGGGAGGTGGTCATGCAGAGCGCAGATCCTTCCTAGTTCTGACTCTGCCACAATTTATTCATCTCTTCTATTGTGGATGGACATTTGAGCTGTTTCCAGCATGGAGCAACAACGTGGCCTCTGCTTTCGTACCTGGGCTTTGCAAAAAGAGACAGTTACTCTCAGGAGATGCTGGACACAAGGAGAGCCGTTCATTCATGCAGGCTACGTCTTGGAGGACTTGTGATGCATCGGATGTCTGGACAAAACCTGGGACCTGACAGAGAGCAAGGTCACCATGACCCGGTGCTGACTGTCTGTAAGGCGGATGGGGGTGCGGACAAACAGAACACAGAGAGAGGAGGGCTTGGTCAAGGGTGGAGAGGAACCCCGTGAAGGCAGGACTTGAGAGGAAACACGCAAAGGGGGCTGGAGAGAGCCTGTCCACAGTTGAAAGAGGGGCTTGTCCAAAGCGTGCGTTTGCAAAGTTCGAACGTGCCTGTTCGTGGAGTGGGGTGAGATGGAGGTCAGAGGTAGACAGGGCAGGATTCAGGAGGATTCAGAAGGGCCAAGGAGCCATTTGAGGACTCTTCTGGAAGACAACGCGACTCCGCTCCCCTAAATTGACAAGCAGCAGGAAGCGCTTAGCCTTTCAGAAGTCCTTCTGGCTGCGGCACAGCATGCCACCCTCCTGCAGGCAGATGGAGGAGGCGGTGGGCGGTGGGCCCAGCCCTAGCACCAGCCCTGCCGCGGACGTGGGCCACAGAGCAAAGCCTACAGAGTGATGGATTTCTAGAAGCCAAGACCAGAGGGTCCTGCCTAGGACACACTTGTGGAGGGAACCCGAAGGCTTCCACTGCTCCCCCAGGCTGTTTAGTCTGGGATCCGCCACAGTGAACTCCCGTCTGACCTCCCCGTGGGTCTGTGTCTCCTCCCGCTCAGAACTCTGACCCTCCGCGGCCCGGCTCCCCAGAGGCAGGAAGTCTGGGAAAGGCAGGGCTGGATGTGGCCTCCAGGGAATGAGGCCACTGCGGCCTGGTCTCCTCTGCCCTGCTCATTCCGCATTTTGGGGTGAGCTGTTTTTGTTTGACGTAAGCAGAGCAAATCCAGCCATAGCAAAATCAGAGAAAATAGCTTGTTGATGTGTAAACCAGGATGTCACAAATAACCCTGTTTAATTATAGCAGGCTGAGTGCAGGGAGCCGGAAGGGGTGCCAATGGAGGGGAATTCAGGATACCGTTGCCGGTGTCCTAGGGGCCCACGGATGAGGCTCTGCGGAAGACGTGAGAGCCGCGTGGACAAACATATGGTGCGTGAGTCAAGCTCAGCTGAGTGGGTAGATGGCTTTCGGAGCTAATGGGAGCTTGCTGTAAGTCACTAGACAGAAAAAATTAAATCACCGGTGAGAGGACAAAAAAAATATGCCTGGAAATAATCAGTCTGAGAACGTAGGAAATTTTGACTTTATGAGTAACTGCTTTACGAAGACAATGTGTTCTTTCCCATGAAATACACCGATCTGGTAGACGACAAAGGACGGGGGCATCAGAAGAGGGGACTGCTACCCACCCCACCGCACCCCACCGACCACTGCCTCCCCTTCCACTCCAGGAAGAACACGGAAGCCGGGGCTTCAGAAAAGCTGGGAGCCGTGTGGGGCAGCATTTAAGATCCTGGCTCTGGATCTGGGCTGACCCAGGTTCAAGCTTGGGTTCAAGCTTCCCTTCTCTCTTATGTGGATGTGGGAGCCAGCTCACCGCTGACGGTCTCAGCTGATGGTGAGAGGCTGGGGAGAGCCAACCCAAGAGGCCTGGGACAAGTTGCTCTTAGCTTGCCTGTACCTGGCATGGAGGGAAATACCAGGGAAGGAGACGTAGGTATTAGGATGAGAAATGAATTCGATGAGTAGGGTTGTGGAGGGAATTCCATTCCAGCACATGCCAAGCCATCTCTTGCCCCTGCCTTACCTCCTGGTGGCTGCCCCATGTCCCCATTAAGCCTTTTTTAAAAATTGTTTTTTGATTATTTACTTAGCTGTGCGGGTCTTACTTGAGCACGCAGGATTCTCAGTCTTCTCTGCAGCCCTCGGGATCTTTAGTTGCAACAACATGTGGGATCTAGCTCCCTGACCAGGGATTGAACCCAGACCCCCTTCACTGGGAGCGCAGAGTCTCAGTCACCGGACCACCAGGCAAGCCCCCTAATCAAGCCCTGTAAAGACACTGCTGCTCCTCGGGGAGCGTTACACAGGGATGCTAACATGGGTGCACAGCTGACTTCTCTGGAGATGACAAAACAAAACATTCACCTTCAGAAATTTAAAAAAGGGCTTTGAGGGAAGGAGCTGCAGGTAGGACCATATTATAACTTTCCTGGGCTCAAGGCACATTTGCCTTCTTGGGCCTTATCTTCCATAAAAAAAAAAAAATTTAATTATATTGTTTGATTGTGTTGGTATAAAGATGAGAATAATATAGCTCGGATTCATGATCATATATTAATAGCAGCTTTCATTACTTTAGTTCAGTTTTAAAAGAAATTAAAATATTTTTGCAGCCTCTACACACAGTGCCTGTTGGTGGGTGGGAGTTGGGGACATGGAAAGTAAATGCATTTTCTACCTGAGCGACATTTTTGTGAAAACAGGAAAATGTATCAAGCTTTGTATGAAGCTACCTGTATTTAAATAAAAGAGAACTCTCTGTTTGGATAATTTCTATTCTGTTTTTGTCCCATGTTGAAAATGGGCTTTCCTTCAGGAAATAATCATGAAATTGCATAGTAATTGTCTTTATCTTATTTTATTTAATGTACTATTAATCTGACAAGATAAAAACAGCTCTGGGTTCACAAATTACTTTCTTCTGCCCGGGATCCTCCCTTGCTTTTTGTAACTGCACTCTTCAGTGGCGCCTAGTCTGCCCCACACTCAGTAATTCTGATCTGAGCTGGGCTGGCCACACCCCTGTGAGCTGGTCTAGCCAATCAGAGCAGAGCTCTGAAGAAGCAGAGCATCTTCTGGGCATGGATTGGCTTGATGTTGATGGGCACTTGATTGCAGACTGGCCAATGGGAGTCAAACCTGGGATTCTGGCTGGTGATGTGGAAAGGAGGCCTTCTCTTCCTGCTAGGATTCTCGGCTATCAAGGCAATTATAAGCTTCCAGCTCCCAGACCCTCCCGAGTGTTAAATGGCCACCTCGAGTGGAGCATCCAGAGGAAAACAGAGCAGAGAGAGAGGGATGGGGCCCTGATACAATCATTTGAATACCTGGGTCCAGTTAGGCCTACAATTAACTTAATAACCCTTGGGATTTAAGTTACAGGGATCAATAACACGCTTTTTTTTTTTTTTGCCTCAAGTCTATTTTAGTGTAGGGTTTTAAAAAGCTGAAACAAAGAGTTCTGTCTAATCCACTTGGCAATCTCAGAATTTCTTAAGTGGTTTATGAAATGACCTGTGATAGTAGAGAATGCTTATTTTATGCCCAAGTGGAGTAAGAGAAGGTTGTTCTGCAGCATGGTCCAGCGTTTCCACGTGAATGGCCTGGCTTCTGCACCTGCCCTCCTCTTCCTTTCACTTAATTTTTAAAAATTACTTTCGGACATTCCTGGCTTCCCTTGTGGCTCAGCTGGTAAAGATTCTGCCTGCAACGTGAGAGACCTGGGTCCGATCCATGGGTTGGGAAGATCCCCTAAAGAAGGGAAAAGGCTATCCACTCCAGCATTCTGGCCTGGAAAACTCCATGGACTGTATAGTCCACCGGGTCCCAGAGTCAAACATGACTGAGCGACTTTCACTTTCACTTAGGACATTCCTTCATCAGAAACAGGCTTTCTTCTTCTTCTTTTTAAACAGTCAGAACAGTTTAAAGACAGTTACGTATTAATGCCTGGAAAAGTTGTGCTTATATAATTTATCACCCTTGGACATTGTGCCCTAGGTTGTGAATATGGTATAATGTAGATTATTGGAGATTTTGTTGTTGCTGTTTAGTCACTCAGTCATGTCTGACTCTTTGCAACCTCGTGGACTGTAGCCTGCCAGGCTCCTCCATGCATGAGATTTCCTAGGTAAGAATACTAAAGTGGGTTGTCATTTTCCTCTCCAGGTACCTTCCCAACTCAGGGATCATATTCATGTCTCCCGAAACAGGCTTTCTTGAGCAACATTCTTCTGAATCAAAAATTACCTCTTCTTAGTATTCATGAATTTGTAGGACCAGCTCTCCCTTCACTGGGTCCCAGAACTGTGCTCTTCGATAAGCACGAAAGGAAAGTGGAAAATCACCAAACACTGACAGTGTGTGTAATGGGGGCAGATTCATTCACCACAGGCAGTGGGTCTCAAAGTGTGGTCTCTGGACCACAGCATCGGCATCACCTGGGAACTTGTTAGAAATGCAGATTCTTGGTCCTCATCCCAAACTCACTGAATCAGAAATTCTGAGGGTTGGGCCCAGTCATCTGTCTGTATACACACCCTGAGAATCGCTGGCTTAGGGGTTTCCTCTTACGCAATTACTGAAGAAACGGCTGCTAGGTGATTAAAATCAAACCTGAGTGACCTTTGTAGAATCACTCTGGGTTTGAGCATTTGCCTTTTCACTTTGAGGGTAGGGGGAAGAAGGAGTCAAACTGTAATAGATTGACTGGTTTCTTTTTTAACTTTACTATTTATCCTTTAGTAGTTTGCTAAATATACATTCTGATTTCATTCATTTCTTCAAGCATTTATTTTTACATTTTACTTAATATAGCTGAGTGTACATATTTCCACTGATGTTGACAAGCAATTAATATGTATTATCTATCCCCATTCAGAAGGCTAAACCTCAACATTTTATCATGTCTTCTTCCCTCTCCATGAATTCACCCTTCACCAATTTCCAAGATTTGTTGAAATCTTTTTGAATTAAAGAGTTGGAATTTTTTCTCAACTTTTCATTAAGCTCCATAGCCATATGCTTGGTGATCGTCTGGGCTTTGCCAGCTTTACTGCTTTACTAGTTTCTTTCTACATCACTGTGGCTTGCATCCTATTTCCCTCTTTCTTGGATTCATTTTCCCTTCTGTTGGAGTATATCCTGTAGAGAATCTTTCAGAAAGGGTTCATGGAGAGATACCTCCTAGGTCCTTGTCCGTCTAAAATTTATTTCTTAGATAATATTTTGCTCACAGAATTCTATGGCACTATAACTTACAGAATTTTGTACTCATTGAACTTGAGAAGTCTGATGTCCATCTGTTTCTTCTTCCTTTGATGTTAAACTATTGGAATTTTTTTCTGTCTGGGATTTTTTCTGTATTCCCAGAAATGTTACTAATATGTCTAGTGCTGGATCCTCCAGACTCTCTCCCATGTTTCTTTTCAATAGCTTTTTGACTTCATACGAAAATATAAAGACTTGATACTCTCTTTAGCTTTGAAAACTGGGGATATAATTTACTTTATTATTTTCTCTATACATTCTCCCTCTGGATATTCTTTGAGACAGAGATTGGAACTCGTGGTTCTATCTTATTTGATTCACGTTTTTTGACTCCCACTTTTCAATACCTGGAATTTTGCTCAATGTCTGATTGGATTGCTTTTCTCTGTATTCCAGTTTGGCAATAAACTCTTCTATTGCATGCATTTCTTTCATCAGTCCATCTGCTGTGGGATTTTTTTTTTTTGACAAATTTATAAGCCATAGAAAACTGCAGAGGATAACAACATCCATGCACTTATCCCTCAGAAATAGTAAATGTTAACATTTTGTCATACTTGCTCTGGTTCCTTTCCGATAGAATAAATATCAGTGGCAAAATTGCAGTTTATTCCTCTCCTGGGGAGGCCTGTGCTGGCCTTTGCTGGTGCACAGGCTTTTCTCTGGTTGTGGTGAGCGAGGGTGCTCTAGCTGCGGGGTGCGGTCTTCTTCCTGGGGTGGCCTTCCACGGGCTTCTCACTGTGGTGGAGCGCAGGCTCTAGGGCATTCGGGTCAGTGGTGGTGGCCGTGGGCTTGGTAGTCGCAGTTCCTGGGCTCCAGGGCACGGGCTCAATCGTT